GGGAGAGCCGCCCCCGGGAGACGTCCTGGCACTGCTGGAGGGGCTGATGAGCCGCCGGGACGCGGGGCTGAAGGAGCATCTCCGCGCTGACGTGACCAGCCACTTCCAGGTGAGGGGCACGGGGGGCACACGGGGAGATGGGGGCATGTGGGGCCAGGCTCTGATGTTCCTCACCCTGCAGGGAGAGCTGGATGCCCTCCGAGCCCACGTGCAGAGGGATTTAGACCGGCGCCTGGGGAAGATGGCACAAGCCTCTCAGGTAGGGGGACGAGCGTGCGGTGGTACCCGGGCAGGACGTCTTCATCACCGGCATCACAGGTCTCACCCCTTCCCCTTCTCCTGGCAGGAGATGGAGGCGCGCTTGCTGGAGCTGAACTCGGAGTGGCAGAGGTAACGCTGGCTGTCCGGGCAGAGCGGCCGCCCTGTTAGGGGCAAGCAGGTAGCAGGGTGAAATCCCCACAAAGGCTTAGGAGGGGTTTCCAGGTCTGGTTTGCTCAGGGCACAGGAGAGGTTGAGAGGTACAATCTTAGGGGGAAAGGAGGGATGGATATGTGGGTATGTCAACAAGAAAGTGCCCTGGCTGGCAGCAGGGCTCAAAGGGCAATTGCAGCAAATTGGCTTCGCCACCGTCATTTTGCACCACCATGGGGAACGTGGCCCTTCAGCCAAGGGGTGAGGTGGCCCCGTGGGAAGCAGTAGAAGAGGTCATTGCCACAGCAATTAAAACCATTTGGGGCTGGAGATGGGGTGATGGGGGATGAACCTCCTCCCCCAGTTTGCAGAGGGGAGCTGGGACTGTTGGCGCATGACTTTGTTGCCTTTCTGTCGGCACAGCTCGGCGCAGGAGGGCCTGCGAGGGAGCTTCCAGCGGGAGGTGGGCAAGCTGGAGCAGGAGGTGGCAGCGCTGAGGAGGGAGCTGACGGGCCTCAAGTCGGACCAGGAGGTGATGGGGAAGCACGTGGAGGGGATGCTGGAGCAGCTGAAGGCGGTGCGGGCTGACGTGAGTCCCCGGTCCCCACCCTGTTTGGCAGAGGGAGGCGCGAGGGTCCCTGCCCTGAGGCTGAGCTCTGTCCCCACTGTTTCAGGTGGAAGCGCAGTTCCCGGCATGGGTCAGCCGGTTCCTGTCGCAGCGGGACGGTGCCGCCAGCCTTGTCCTCCAGCGGGAAGATTTGCAAGCAGAGCTCCAGGCCCTGGAGCGCAAGATCCTGGCCAAAGTCGTGGAGGACCGGAGGCTGTCGGCGCGGGATGCTCAGGCCGGCATCGGAGTGGCCCTGCGGCAAGGGGGAACCACAGGGGTGACAGAGGAGGTGAGATCTGGCCTGAGCTCTGGGGACATGGTGGTGGCCACGGGCATGGTGTTGGGTGGAGCTGGCAGGCGTGCCTGGCAGATGGCTGAGCCGGGGGACAGCCTTTAGGGCTGGGACATCAATCCTGAACTTGCATCCCACCTGGCAAGAGCATACCTGAAACTCCTCCATCCCTTCTCTGCCATCAGCCTCCCCTGGATCGTAGGTGGTGATATCCGCATGCCTGCGAGGCTCTTGCGGTCTTAAAATCCAAGTTTCTGCTTGTGCATCTTTCACCCAGAAGCAGGGCAGGTGCCAGCAACATGTCCATGGGTTGAACATCTTGCTTACCTCCCTCCTTCAGCAGCGCCGCAGAGTCATTTGGGGCAAAGCATTTCAGCAGAATGACACCATGGGAAAAAATGAGCCTGCTTGCTTTGGAAAGAGTTGTTGGCAATTCCCCGAGGAGGGAGGGATCAAGCAGGATTAGCAGCCCCGCAGCCTGCGCTGGCTTTTTGCACACTGTAAAGTTTAGACCTAGAGCGGTGCTGCAAGGTCCCAGCTCCTGGGGTTGGCTCCTGAGGGATGCTCTGGTTGGCTCCCAGATTTTCCAGATGGGGATCCCATGGAACGGGGTAGGGGCGACAAGCAGATGATGCTGTGGTGGTGATCAGGTGGGCTGTCGGTTTTTGTCTGGTACCCACCGGTGGATCTGGGGCCAGTCTGCCCCTTGGGATGGGGACAGGCGAGCCCAGCATGCCTGGGTGCTGCCCCTTCATTGCACAGCGCTTCTTATCTGGGGTATTTTTAGCAACCTCTAACGAAGCTTCCCAGCCAAATGCGTGTCCTCTCGTTTTTGCTGTGGTGATTCATCCCCTGGCTGTTCTGTGGGAAGGTCCTTGTGCCCTCTCCGTCCCCGTGGGGTGGAGGCGGGTGGGCGGCAGTACGCCTGCCCCAGCCCTTCACCCCTCTTGTGCCCTCTGCTCCTGCCGCAGCAAGTGCACCTCATCGTGGGTCAAGCCCTGAAGCGCTACAGTGAGGACCGCGTGGGGATGGTCGACTACGCCTTGGAGTCGGCGGGTAGGTGGGGGGGGGCTCTTGACCTCCCTGGGACAAGCCAGCCATCCTGGGGAAGGGGTGTCATGGGGCTTACCCGCTGCTGTCCCCTCTCCATCCCAGGGGCCAGCGTCATCAACACCC